CAGGTTTGATCTACAGAGTAATAGCTTTCAGTTCAAATGTCACAGGTGCCTGAGAGCAGCCCGAGTCCACCCTCCAGTGATAAAGCCGTGCAGCTCAAAACTGCCATAGCAGGCAGAGATAACTGCATTAAAACTACTTGGTGAACTCTGTACTTTGTACTTCCTCAAAGTTCCTTCTGCATGCCAGATAAAGGGACAAGGAACTGCAGGGCTTGGCTCAGTAAATATGGTGAAATACAGTATGAACCAATACTTTTTGTTTGTCATAAATTCCTATAGCATGGAACAGCATTTCAAAAGCTGAAACCAAAAAGTATTAGGCCTTTTTTGCCTTAGAAGAAGTTTTATCTTATGTCAGTGTGATCATTTAATAAATACTTTACAGTAATATGAACCACAAAAGCACCAAATTCTCTTTTTTGCAGCTGCAGCCTGAGAATAATAAAACAAAAGAAAATTGTGCACATCAGTTCAGGAACACCAAGGTTGCTCATCTCAGGGCTTCATAACCAACGATTGATATCTGCATTCATCTGGCTTGGGAAGGCCTTGGTTGTCTCTCTGGAACAGCTGGAGGAGGTGGCTGGGGTGGGAAGTCTGCACTGCTTAGACTGCTGCCCTTGTGACCCATACTGGATAAGCAGCAGATGCATAGATGGATTTATGCTGTGAAATAAAGTGAAAGCATCAAAGTCTTCCAAAATATACATTTTGTTATACCATCCAGTACTGCTGCAGACCTGCTGTTCTAAATGGTTCCAAAGTTAGGGACATATTTATCTTTGACCTTTGACATATTATCAGTTTCATGAAAATATTTAGCTTCTCATGTCTGCCATTTCCACAAACTAGGAGGAGGCTGTTGTACCATTGACTGTTTAAAAACAGTACGAGGAAATGATGTCTGTGCCAAACTGCCTCTGCCCTGGATCGGATTGCAGCTTTGATGAATAACTACTGTCGTTGCCGGCTTCTCTGTACATGAGGGCATCTGCTGGTGTAGAACAGTTACATGGAGAACTATTTACTTACCTCTCCCACACACACACACACACACACACACACACACACACACACACACACACACACACACACACACAAAACAAGTGGAAAGGAAGGTCACTCATATTTCCCTCACAGAAGGCTGGCACACTTGTGTTTACATTGCAGTCCTTACACCCCCATCACTATAGCAACTCATTTTCTTATTTTGTCTGACTACGTGGGTGTTTTTCAGTCATTTCTGTTGTGTGTAATGTGCCGAAATAAAACAATGCTTGTGTAGATGTAAACGATGAAGCTGAGGAAGATGATAAAAGCTGCAAATTCTCTCAGTTTGTCATCCCGAGGTGCAGCTGCGTTGTGCAGTTTTGCTTTTCTGGTTGTACCAAATGGGGTGAGATGAGCTGGCAGCAGTGATTTGCATTTCCTGGCAGTACTAGGTCAGCTGGACTTGGTTTGGATGTGTCATCTGAAGATGTTTGATCATTTCGCACACCCAACACCAGGCTGTAAATTAATCGTCCTCCATGACGTATGTAGGCGGGCTCAACTTCTGTCATTATTATTCAACAAAAACTAGAACATACAAAAAAACAAAGTGCTTTTATAGTCAAAATTGCAGTCATTCATGCAGACTAATAATTGGAAAAGATTAATTGAAGTCGACTCCTGCATATCTTATTTATTTTAGTAAAGTGTGTTTGCTTTTGTTTTGGGGTTTTTGGTAAGGCTGTGAGATTTAGGTTGAGACCACAGCGTGGGTCTGACACAGCCATTAAGAGTGAAAAGAGCCAGATATTCAGCAGTGGACATGTCTGTACCTGGGGTAGTGTGGAGGAGGTGTTTCAGCACAGGCAGGGCTGGATATTTGAGTGGATGAACAGTGAGCCTGTTGGGTGCGAGCATAATCACCCACATTTTTCCACATAATCACTAAAGATACTTTTTCTAAATTAAAAATGTTTCCAAAATAAGTTACAGCTGTGAGCAGAAACTGAAGAGGAAAGTACTCTTGATGTCCAACATTTATATATTGTGTTAAAAAGTCAATGAAAGCACTAAATTTGTTGGATCATTTTATGATGAATGGAAATGTGATGGCAGTGAAGTTTAGATTTTGTTTTCTAAAAGGCTTAATGTGTCCCACATTCAAAACATCACATCTGCTTTCTGCTTTGGAAATTATGGTCTCTGCACAGTTGCACAAGAGAAAATAAGACAAAGTGGACAGACTAAACAAAAATCCAGCCAACATGTTTTTACTAGTTAGTACAAATAAGTGGTGTCATTCCTGGAAGTAAAAACCCTGCAGAGAAAAGTGCTGATACACAAACCCTCTTCATGCCAAAGGGTGTGCTAGTGTTTATTTTTCCCTTTCAACATCTAATCTCACACACACGGTGTTCATGTGCTGTGGTCCTGTCTTTGTTTATGGCCGCTGGAGTTGCATGGTACATAAAAATATTCCAGCACCTTTGGTCAGGGCGTCTGTCAGTGTCTGTAGGCAATGATTAGGATTGGGTTTTCTGCTTAGCCACATGCGAAGTATGACAATGAAGTGTCGTAGACTAATTTTGGAGTAAGAGTTTTGAAAAGGCTTGCAAATGTTTTTTCCAATATAGTAACTGATAAACGTATTTATTATTTTTCCCTGAGCCTGGATCTGCTGGAGGTTTCTTCCTGTTAAAAGGGAGTTTTTCCTTCCCACTGTCACTAAAGTGCTGCTCATAGGGGGTCATATGATTGTTGGGTTTTTCTCTGTATGTATTATTGTAGGGTCTACCTTACAATGTAAAGCACCTTGAGGCGACTCTTGTTGTGATTTGGCGCTGTATAAATAAAATTGAATTGAATTATTTTATTATTATCTATATTTTAATCATACATGTTTGTGTAATGAGCCTTTACCTTAGTGAGGGATCTCTCTGCTAAGGTTGACCTCTGCTGCGAAGAATGTGTGATATGAAAGTAGCTAGCTAAGCTTTGCATGTTAACTCCCTGCTCATTCTCTAAATCTAGCTTTAACTTTAGATCCTCCATACCCGGCATGCAAGACAGCTTCCTAATTTCCTGAAAATGTTTTGTCTTTATCACATTCCAGATATGGTTTGGTTGAAAGCACTTAAACCGGTTGGGTTTCTATTAGTGGTGCAACGGATCACAAATCTCATGGATCGGATCACGGTTTTAAGTCACAGATCGGATCAATTTTTGGATCAGCAAAAAAAGGAAAAAAGAGAGAATTTTAACATTTACTTATTAACTTATTTAAGTAATTTTTGCCTATTAAAACCTTCAACTCAAGACTCATTCCATGGAACTGTATAAAAACAAATTAAGGTGCAGTACAGGGCTTTGTATCTACCACTCCGCTGTGATATAATGAGCGGTCACGTAGCTTTCCGTTGACCTGCAGCTCCACCCATTTTTAGTTGGGCAACAGAAGATGCCTGGGACAGTTCCGCCATAACTTTAATCTTTTCCTGCTCATACATGCCTGGAACAATATTGTCACTGAAGTGGACGCGCAACGGGATATCATAGCGTGGCTCAAGCACGTTCATCATTGTTTAAACCCCTTGTTTTGCACAGGAGAGTACAGCCTCATGTCTGCAGCTAAACACCCCAGTAGCTTCTGTAATAGCTTTAGCCGGTCGAACTGGGCAGCAAAGGGCTGCTTAAATACCTCAAACTCCTCTGCTCCTCCACTTGGACCACTAGCACTGACCATAGCTATCGCTTGACAGACTGACCACACGCACCACACACATACTTTTTTCCTTCTTTTTCGAATCTTCGGATCACGTGTGTGCCGAACCGTGGAGTGGGATCGGTTTGGATTATGGATCAACCGTGATCCGCTGCACCACTAGTTTCTATATTGCTGTAGTAGTTCTCGTGTAAAAGCAAACGTGCTACACTTATCTTTCCATTTTAGTGTGTGCTTACTGTTTTACAATACTTTTAATTCAAACCTAGCATTTCCTGCCGATTTGACTTAACATGAAAAACTTTTCGCTTGCAAACCACAGGAAGGAAGTGGCATTTGTCACAGAGGTTTGAGCGGGTTTGATTCACACAGCAATGTTTCTTTATTTTTTATCTGCCATTTTCATTTGTAAATAATAGTTAAAGTAACGGTTAAAGGTTTTTTGGTCAGTTGTTTTTAAAAATTGTATGGTACCTTTTTCATAAATCCTTATTTGGGATTATACGTGACTTCTTGGTGAATGAACATGTGGTCTTTTTGTGGAATAGGTTTTATTGTTGTCTTCTAAAGATAGTTATTAGAAGTTAATATAAGCTACAGTATCGTGCTGGTATGTGACATGTGGTTCTTCAGGCTGCACTTGTTGAACTTGCTTGGCCCAGTAAGCACAGAAGCTTAGAGCTGGATATGGAAGAAACTGATTATATCAAGTGTTATTTTGTGCGATATTGGTTATAGCTTTAATATTGATTACATTGACTACAGTCTGCACAGTCTCCACCAAACATTGACTTAAGGCAATTAAAGGGGGAAAAAACCTTGATTCCAGGTGTGGAAGAGAGGGAGAGTCCTGAGCAGTTCATCTTAGTGAGGTGTGCTCCATCAGCTCAGTGACCCTTGGTCTGTATTTCTTTGATTGATTGATTGATTGATTGATTGATTGATTGATTGATTGATTCTCATATTTACCATCCCAACTTGAAAACATGGTTTTCAACATTTGGATAATGGCTGTGCTCAGTTTTGGGCACAGCTGGGCATTCACAGAGGAGAGGGTGTGACTCACTTTCACCACAAAGGCCATGTTCTTAGCTGTGTTAGCACCATCACCACAGCGAGAAAGTCTTGGTCACCTACGGCCTTTCTGTCCTAATAAGTGGTTCTGAATCGTAATTATAAATTAATGCAGTTATTGCACATATCTGGCATTTGAGTTTTATGGATTTAAAAGGTTTATATTTTTTAACTTTTTGGGGTTTTTGTTTTGTTTTTGTTTTTTTAAATACAGCTCTGCCTACGACCGGGAGAACAAGATACGCGTGGCCATCAAGAAGATCAGCCCCTTTGAGCACCAGACCTACTGCCAGCGCACCCTGAGAGAGATCAAAATCCTTCTGCGCTTCAAGCACGAGAACATTATCGGAATCAACGACATTATCCGTGCACCGACCATCGAGCAGATGAAGGATGTGTATCCTCACTGAAGCATGTTTGATTGTAAAGCGTCTCATTCTTGTGTTTGATGGTTTTCTTTAGCTGCTGGTCAGATCGGTATTACCACCAAACGTTTGTGGTCAAGAGGTTTTTATTTGTCTTCCATTACATAATAGCCACCTGTCGCCATACAGTTGGCAGAGATGCTTTTCGCTGTAGCCAAATGGTAGCAGACTATCAAGCCTGCAGGCACTGTGTATAGTTTTACACTGCGTCTGTGACTGAAGCCTGCAGCTGCTCAGCCTGGCAACACAAGCATGTGCCCAAGAACAAATACTAAATTGCACTGGCTTTCTTTCACCAAGAGTCGTCAGGGAGGTGGAGTCCACCTGGACCAGTTTCAGTACATATTGGCCTCAAGAGCACCAATCAGAATCCTCATGCTTAGGGACTTTGAAACTTGACTAAAAGTCCTAAAAGACCCAACAACTGATCAGATAGTTTTGTATTTTTGCAGCTGTGCATCCGCCTTTGCTCTTATCAAGTCTTCCTTTAACAAAAAAAACAAAGAAACGTAAAACAGTGAATAGTTTTACTGAACTTAAGTGTCAGCGAGCTTTCAGCATGATGAATACATTTACCAAAATTTACCATACTGACTAATAATGGCCTCGTAAGTGAGTCATGACTATTGACTGTCTGTAAATGATGTACGTAGTCACTCTGACGCCACACGTTAGATTGTGAAACTCTGTTTTGAATCCTCAAGTGTTTTGGCTACAGGCGTGTGTGTGTGTGTGTGTGTGTGTGTGTGAGTGTGAGTGAGCATCTTTGTGGGGGCCAAAAATTGTAAGTTTACTCTACTTGTGGGGACCAAAATGTCGTTTTAGTGTCAGGGTCACGATTAGGTTATGGTTAGGGTTAGGCATCCATTTTTGATGGTTAGGGTAAGCGGCCAGGGAAAGCATTATGTCAATGAGATGTCCCTGCAAGGATATAAATACGCACGTGAGTGTGATTTTTTTTTTTTTTTTTTTTTTTTTTTTTTTTTTTTTCCCCCCCCCCCCCTCCCAGTATAAAAGCCGACTTTCCTTAACCTGGAACCGTGCAGATATATTGTCCAGGATCTAATGGAAACAGATCTGTACAAGCTCCTGAAGACTCAACACCTGAGCAATGACCACATCTGCTACTTCCTCTACCAGATCCTGCGAGGGCTCAAGTATATCCACTCTGCCAACGTACTACACCGTGACCTGAAGCCTTCCAACCTTCTGCTCAATACCACCTGTGATCTCAAGGTAGCGTCTCAAGCAGATGCTGGCTTCATTTAAATGCTTGTTTTCAGGCACTTACCCTTAAGGACCCATTCAGATATTTTTCTTGTCACGGGAAAGACCTCCTCGTATGGTGGTTTAACTAACACAGACATATTTTCATCATGATTTCATGATTAAATAACTTAATGTTATCATAAATCCTCACAAATACAAATCTGCTGTGGAGACTCTCAACATTTTACAGCCTATAATTTTTATGTTGTGTCCTCTAATGTGACAATTTCTTGTGCCTTTCTCATTTTTTTGTAGATCTGTGACTTTGGTTTGGCTCGTGTGGCTGATCCCGACCACGATCACACTGGTTTCCTCACAGAGTACGTTGCCACTCGTTGGTACCGAGCTCCTGAGATCATGCTCAACTCAAAGGCGAGTAGAGTAACAGTGGAGTATGTTTAGTGTTTTTAGGTTTTCCCAACTTAAAAAATACTTTGTGCCCTCCATTGAAACGTGTTGATTGGAAAACGACGACCCTGTTAGTGATAATATCTTTAAACTTTGTATTTCTATTTCAAGTCTTAAACTTTAATTTCTAAATACTAGTTGGAATAATTTAAAATGACTTGCAGCACTTGATAGGCACATGGTATATTAATGCTGTGTATAACTAAGTTAGTTACTGTAATCATGATTATGTCTGTTCTACTTGATTTCAGGGCTACACCAAGTCCATAGACATCTGGTCAGTGGGTTGCATCCTGGCTGAGATGCTGTCCAACAGGCCAATCTTTCCGGGGAAGCATTACTTGGATCAGCTTAACCATATTTTGGGTAAAAATAAACTTTGCATGCAGTAAACATGTAGAACTTTCCATTCTTAAAAATTCAAATGAGTTGTGTTGATGTGTAAGTCCACGGAGGCTGACATTTAGCCCATAGGCCACAAAATTAAAGCCTCCTGCAAAATGAATCTGCCAGAACGGATCAGAGATGTTAGGGTTAGGTTATGGGTCTATAAGTCAAACACACATCTAGATGAATCCCATGATCCCCACAAACCGCACACACCTGAGTCACTTCTATTGCTCCATTGTTCAGCTCAGGTGGTGGCTGGGGTTGAGCTGGGGCTCTGTGGCTGTGTAGTGCATTGCTTTGTGGGTCTATCATAGCAAGCATTGAGGTTTTCTCCAGTTTGAGCAACAGTGGCCATGTAATCAGTAAACGTCTGCACCGGTTACTGGTTATTCCAGTTATCCCCTCTTGGATTCCTTTTGCTTGGTACTCGCTGCCTCATACTGGGAACCTGTTTTGTTTTGGAGATGGTCTGACCAAGCCGAGTCCTCCATGATGAACTTTGTTTTTCCTGATAATGAATTTGTTTGGTAGTACAGTGTATCATTATGGTGTGACTCAGCTGCGTTATTTAGTCTGTAAGAAAAACTTTGATACCTTTAGACTTCACACTCAGTCGCAACAGCTTCCTGGTGCCAGTCCATAGATACCGTAGACACTAATATGTCCTTATCAAGTCGGACTTTTTTGTCTCTTGGTGCTAGACCACATGTTGCTTCTCCCATCTGTCCGTTCGTTGTGCGGTCTGAATGTTTTTGTCCGTTTTTGAGAATTTTTCCTTTCAATATAAACTTTTAGCGGAGGCTCTGCAAATTGTTACATATCATATCATTTATCATTTTACATATCATTTATTTATCATAAAAGAACAAAATCTGATTGTCTTTATGATTTTCTATTTGTCCTCCAGGAATTCTGGGTTCTCCCTCACAGGAGGATCTCAACTGCATCATCAACATTAAAGCCAGGAACTATCTCTTGTCACTGCCTTTGCGCTGCAAAGTGCCGTGGAACCGTCTCTTTCCCAACGCTGATCCAAAAGGTAAGAGGTGGAATCTCACCATAACCGCAGTATTTGGTCATCAGGGGATTAGTAAATGTTAAACATTTCCTGAGAGAATTTCGTTTTATAGAGCGGGGAGAAAAATGATTGCCTACACCTGGCTCACCTCATACACATCACATTACATTCATGTTGTGTCTACTTCTTTGATGACCTGTGCCCTGGCACAACACACAGCAGTCACAGTAGTCACAACATCTGGACTTTGGGGCTCAAACATGCTCACTACACTCTAATGATGTTTTTGCAGGTTCAGTTGGTTTTTCTGTGCATGATGGTTTTCTGTCTCCTTCACTGCTGAAATTAAATCAAATCATTCATAAGAACAGTGCTAATAAAGGCAGAGTGCCATTTCAACATGGTGAGAAAAGCTTTAGTAAAATCTTTGGTAATCACAATGTGAGTCCACCAATAGGCAGCCTGAAGCCAAATTCAGAGAGAAGCTGATGATAATATTTACACAGTGTAAATTTGAGTGTACTTAAGAAAAACGTCCTCAGAAGCTGTAAAATTCACAGAGAGAAGCTGAATGATGGATTTGGTCAAACTCAAGTAAGAACTGTGGCCAAACCTTTACTCGGAGCACAAAAGCAGTGCAGGTGGATGACGCGGTGCTGCTCTTAAATCCTTTTCTGTTTACAACACTTCACAATGAGTCACCACATATTCACCGTATCACCATGACATCTTCCAAACTGATATCATGCAGTGACACAAGCTAACACAGATGTTTATTAGAGCCATCCTGCAAATTCAGTAAGCTGAACCCTCATTGTCACACAGTATTAAGTAGTGGATGAAGGTTGGATGAAGGGATGCATCAAATTCGTGTTCAGTAAAGAGCTGATCAGAGGTGGACCGACAGACTTTGGTGTCAAAGGATGGTTTAAAAAAATGATAACATGTTGGATGTAGACTAGGACCTCTAGTGGACAGACAAGGATATTGTTGTTGTTTCAGAGTCACCTACAGTAAGTCCATCTTTGTGTTACAGCTCTGGACCTGCTGGACAAGATGTTGACCTTTAACCCTCACAAGAGGATCGAGGTGGAGGAGGCGCTGGCACACCCCTACCTGGAACAATACTACGACCCCACAGATGAGGTGGGTCAGGCATCTTGTGCTATATGGATCACCTGGGTTCAAAAAAACAGCACAACTTTTGTTATTTTACAAGATGATTGAAGAGCAGATTTCCAGCTTTAATTCAAGGAGTTCAGCAGAAGTATTGAACTGTTTTAGCAGGTGCTGTATTCCATATGCAGCTTTTTATATATATATATAAATACTGAGTCCTCCATTTTCAGAGGCTCATGTTCAGTTCAGGCCTGATCCTCAACATGAGGTTCAAAGATAACGATGGGAGTGAAGACCGTCAGAGGGTGAATGTACGCTTAAAAGTGTACGAAAAAATATTATGGCATGAATTGTGCTTGTAGTTAGAAATTGTTTTTAGGTGTTCAAATAAAGTAGAAAAGCATCTTACAAGAACCAGTCGCCGCTAAAACGAATGAATGCACTCGTCAGCAGATGCATCTGAAATACCACAGCAAGCAACTGAAGTGGATGACTGCCAAATTATTTTCATGGTTAATAAAAACAGTTTCAGAGAATTTTGTCACTCTTGAGTAGGTAAACATATCAAAGTCTGCAATCACGAGCCACCAAATGCAACCTTGTACACTCAGGACCAGGAAGGCCAGATTAGACTGGCAGCAAACGTCTAAAAGAGCCTTCAAATATTCTTTGGAAAGATGAAATCAAGAGAAAATTGAGGAGGAGGAGAGAAACAGCTCATTAACCCAAAGCACACCACATCCTCTGTCAAACATGGTGCAGGAATGTAATGAAACGGGCATCCTGTTAGAAGAAGTGTACAGGGCTATACTCTCTGCTCAGATTCAGCCAAGTGCCGCAAAGCTAAGCAGACGGTGCTTCATACAGGAAATGTTAATTTCAGTTACCAAAGACAAACCCGAAGGCAAAGAGACCCACAAACAAGAAGAAACAGGGCAGCTGCAGTAAAAGGCCTGCAGGGCATTTGGTGGTGTCCATGGCTTTTTGAACTTCGGTCTCTGGCAGCAGAAGATTTCCATTAAATATTAAACACAGTTTTTGTGTTTAAAATTGTTAGTTTGTTCAATTAATTTTGAGGCTAAGAAAATGGAAATACAAATGTCTGTAATTGCAAAACAAATTTCCATTGAGCTGCTTGAATTAAAGCTCAAACGTGCACTTCAGTCATAACTTTGATCTCAAAGTGATGATAGTGGCGTTGTCCAAATAGCTGCCTGCGTGTTTCTCTGATCTAAAAATGTTCTTAATTTCTTTTGTGGTTTTGTGGTTGTTTGTGACTTAGCTGCTCTGTTGGAGCCAAACCTAAAGTCTCCATGAACATTTACCTCACTCTGCCCTCTTTGCTCTCTGTCTTTAGCCTGTTGCCGAGGCCCCATTTAAGTTTGACATGGAGCTAGATGACCTACCCAAAGAGACGCTGAAGGAGCTCATCTTTCAAGAAACTGCACGTTTCCAGCCCAGCTTTAGGTCCTAACATCCCACACAGGTAAGTACACATCACTGCAACCCAACTTATAACCCCAAACTACTGAAAAATAACCTGCAGGGGCTGGTGACACAAAACTATGAGCAATTTGTTAAGAAGTACACAACAACCAACTTTTCCAAGGTCATAAAGATCAGGGAGATCCTCATGACTGTCCCACCTCCGCTGCTTCAAAGCGCGGTGGAGTGAGTCGTGTTCCCGCGTTGAAATCTGCTCAGGATCACTGGGGTTAAATTTAACAGCTCATCTGTTTAAGAGCTGTAGTCAGGACCTCACAGAGTAAGTTTAAATTTTGCTTTTGTTGAGTACGAAGCCGAGGTACTTGACAGGATAAAACCACTTAAAACCATCCATCTAAGCACTTTAAACGTAGTGAGTTGTGCTTTACTGCCATCAATTTGTATCCAAAGCAAGACACAAAAATTGTTCTGTGGTATGAAATTTAGATTTTTCAATATGCAGAATTTACCATGTATTAAGACTTTTTTTTTTCCCCTATTGCCAATGTGTGAATTGATAGTAACGCAAGTTCAATTCAGTATAGTTTAGTGTGAAGGGTGTGGGACAGATATTCCAAGAAACTCTAAATGATAAGACTTTAATGTTCCTTAGCTCATGCCTCGCTTCGGTGCCTCTGTTCTGCTCCCACACGCTGTCAGCAGTGAGCAACACTAGTAATAATAATAATAATAATAATAATAATAATAATAATGGATTGGATTTATATAGCACTTTTCAAGGCACCCAAAGCGCTTTACAATGCCACTATTCATTCAAATGGCTAACCTGTGTTAGCCATTTGAAACGGACAAACGTTCTTTGGTTTTGGGAATCAAACAAACCCTGAGCTAACGCTGGTTTGCCGGTTACAGGCTATCTGATGTACTGTCTTTAAGTGGCCGAGGTCATCAGTCCGTCCTCTCACACTAACCAATGGCACATACATGAAACATCCTGAAGTTGCATCTAGCTCCCTAGCTCCAGATTCTGCGGTTGCTAATGTCCCATCTGACCCACCTTAGATGTTTGGTGACTGGCCAGTCACCCTCACTTATGACTGATTATAAGCTGGTTGGAGTTGTTAAAGTAAACCTCAGGGGACTGCAACAAAAATGCTCCTAACAACAAAGCTAATCAGACTCCTTCAGCTGAATATGGACATTTTACAAAAGCTAACAAAAGGAAAGTGGCTAAAGCTACCGTGAGCTGTGAGTCAGCCTCTGGCCAGCAGCTTCGGTATGAGCAAAATATTAATTATGAAAAAGTGAAAAGGGCTCATGTCCTGTTATCTGGTGAAGTCATAAACATACTGGGAAGTGACGCAAGTATCTGATGTTTGCGGTGTTATAGAAATCTGCTGCACCTTCTTTTGTTTAAGATACAACATCTCAGCTAAAGCTGTTTTTCTGTGATTACTATCAGGGCATATACAGTGCCAAACACTTTGATATTTGTTTTCTTGTTTCTATGACAGGTGATCTGACAGGTTTGTTAAGCACTGTATGAAAGTTTTAATAACTGAAACTGCATCAGTTGAATATAAATGGCATAGAGGATCAGAAACCGGCATCGCTGGCCTGGATGTTTGCTCCGTTTTCTGATGACTTGTGTGAGAAAACCTCCAAAAGTACAGTCGGATAGAAAACCTCAAATTCGTGTTTTGCTGATGAAACTGTGATGTGCATCACGATACCGATTCTCTGTAATCGTGTTGATATTCTTGGAATGAAGGTGAAGAGTCGCATGGCGTCATTAAATATGCAGACATCATTGTGCAAATACAATCAGCTGATTGTGAGGGAGTCAGATGGGAGACGAGCTGTCTGTGCAGCGTCTGACAGTAATAACTTTGTCATATCAAGAATTATTATTATGTAGTTCTAAAAGTTTCTTTAAACAATGTAAACTACCCAGTTTATTGTTGCAATGTAATTCTTTATTTGACAGATGCACTGATGCTAAAATGGATACTCACCACTCTTAACAGCTAAAGTGTCATTTCCTTCAGAAAGGATTTTGGCAAATTATACAGTTAAAAACAGAGATTGTTTTTGTTTGTCCCCTCCCTCACTGATCTCTGCTCACCACCAGCTGCTTCCTGACAGGACTCCTTTTGTGATAATAGCAATCAGCTCTACATTTTATAGCCCATCATCCTCTTTGTGCGCAAGACGGGCTGTGTGTAATTACTGTGTTTCCACTGTGCATGTCTTGAAGCATAACACGAGTGCAGTGAAAGTGAGTCTGTTGTGCGACACCTCCCAGATTAGAGCACCGAGCATGTTTGCATTTTTTTAGTTCCTTGTTTCAGTATCTGCAGATCTGGTTATCTGTAAAAGTGCTGCCTTTCTGCGCTGCACTCATCTCCTGGGGCCTGGGCTGTGAAGCAAATGCATCATAGCCAGGATAGCTTTCCATTATGTAGCTTTGCTTAATCTAACATCAGCAATCAGGCTAAAGGGTCACGTGAACACAGTTATCAGCTGCATAAATCTACCCGGGGTTTATCTATGCAGCACGTTCACATGAAAGAGGAAGAGTTCAAACATGGACCGGGGTTAAAAATAAAGAAACGCGCAGTGAAACGTACAGGAAAAGTATAGCATGGTAAAATTGACTGATTCTTATATAGTGCTTTATACAACAGCCTCATTCGCCCATTCATACAAGCACTTTCTTCTATGTTTAAGTGATGTGGGGTTAGTATCTTGCCCAGGGATATGTGGCTTGCAGACTGGAGCAGCCAGGGATCGAAGCACCGGCCTTGCGATCAGTAGATGCTGCTTTACCTCCTGACCTACAGCCTCCCCACAAAGCTACTGTATGACTGTGTGCGGGCGTCAGCACTAGATCTGACAGAAGGTTCATTTTTGCCCCCTGCTGCAACAGCAGTAAGCGCCAAAATATTATTTTTGTAATTATAGGCGAGATTAGACTAAAATAACTATTTAAGTGTTTTATTAGTATTACAAATGATTTGGAGTGATTTCATCACAGATCAGAAAGGGAAAATATATTTAGAATCTACAATTAAATGGTACAACAAACACAATAATGTGATTATCTTTGGACGTCGATGAAGTTTAAGACTGAAAAAGCACCATTATATTAAAAAAGTTTGAAGCCAGGATAAAAAGCTGTTAAGTGACTTCTCAGTATCACAGCTCTGTTATTAAGACACCTGCTGCTTCATTCATCAACCCTTTGAGGTCTTGCTTCTGCATTTAATCTCTATATTCTGCTACATAGTGGTGGGCACGGTGAGCATGCTTCATTTTCTCTCTTTGAGTTGATCCGTTCTCTTCCGTTCGTTTAAAAAAAAAAAAAAAAGGCGTCAGAATAAATAGCTGCACATGCGAAGGAGGAAATGGCGTGACTGACAAGCCAATCAGTCGTCGCCTGTACCTACATTTCTAGGGAGTTGTATACATGCCAGGTCACAGCATAGGGTTTGATTTATGATGTAACCGATGAGATTTAAGGCAGAAGTATAAATGATGACCCTGAAGATATAATAATGCTACAGAGAGCTTTTTAAAACCATCTTTCTTACTGTCCCCACATGTTAAACTCTAAGTTGCCCACAGGTGTAAATGTGAGTGCGAATGGTTATCTGTGTGTGTTAGCCCTGCAACAGACTGGGGACCTGTCCAGGGTGTGCCCCGCCTCTCGCCCTACGACAGCTGGGATAGGCTCCACCCCCCTCTGCTGGATGCTCAGTGTTATGGGTCTTGGGTTCAGTATGGCGGCTCATCACGGCGTCTCTGTTTCCTTCTCCTTCCAGATGATTCTGCGGACTGGCTCCTGCGTTGCCACTGCTCCTCCCCGCCTCCACACTGTTGCTGTGATATTTTATTATTCATTTTTATTTTTTTTAATTTTTTTTAGTTTGGGTTTGTTTTTGTTTGAATGCTCCTCTGCCGATGTCCACATCTCCTGGATTCCTTGGGTCTCACTCGTCAAATCCACTTTGCTCAGGAATGGCGTCAGGAATCAATCAATCAGATCATCCTCCGTTTTGCTTTCTTTTTCTCTCGTTCTCTCTCGGAGGTGAGGACAGGTGAGGGGAGGGCGGGGTCACATCACAGCTTACAGGGGTGGTCGGGGTTGTGTGTTTTAAGCCAAGTTAAGCATTTTTTTTCTACCTGTGTGTCTCAAACAACAGGGGTTGGGGGGGGGGGAGTTACTATTCAAGACCTTTAATGTCCAGTTGAATGATGGTCATAGACTAGCTGCTCTTTTCTCTGCCTTCATTGCACAAACAACAGAGGGTTACATCTAAGGATCATTGATCGGAGGAGTTTTCTAATGCTCGTCGCAGTGTTACAGGGGATGCAGTCTATGTTTTTCTTCTATTTAGAAAAAAATCCAAATTTAACAACCAGATTTATGCAATGAAATCACTGAATCAGCCAGAGGGTCTGCAGGCAACAAGCCATCAGTCAGTGAGGACCTATGTTTTATCAAACGCTGTATTTTAATTAACACACACAAGGCCCGAATGCAAATGTATACCTATAAAGACATATATAAATATATGGCCTAAAGAGTCTTAAGATATTTTAAAGGTGAGAATTAGGATTTCCTGTCTCATCAGCTGGAGGAGGAAAGTGTCCACCTTAGCTGTGAGGAATTTCCCACACGTCTGTATGTACAGGGTGGTGTTTTTCATGGTGGGTTGGGGGAGCTTTACCGCATCAGGACAAGAATTCAGTTACCGCTCAGCGCTTGTTTTGTCTGGAGGAAATGTTGTTGTGCCTCCCCGTTTCTTTGTCTTCTTCTCTTCTTCTTTGTGAGTTTCTGTTGATCTCTCTCTGTCTCTCTCTCTCTCGCCTTGTTAGAATAAAACTGTGCCCTTTGCATGACTGTTAAAAGCTCTGTATACAAAGACGACGATGTTAAGTGCCACACAAACCGGGCGGATCTGCCGGGAGAGCGCCCAGGCTCTGTCCGTTCTATCTTTTGTGGTATATCACACTTTACACACTCACGGTGCTTTTTGTCCTCTTTCTTTCTGTCGCTTTCACAACCTCTCTGTCCATTTTTCTTCTGTCTTGTTTTTTCTTTATTTCTTCAGATTTCAACTTTTTGTTTCTTGAATAAACTCCATCTGCATGCTGTGAGACATCTTGTTGTGGTTGCAAATAGGAGAATAACCATATAACTGTATTTATGCCAAACACACACACACACACACACACACACACACACACACACACACACACGTACGTTTCCTGAACCTGACAAATGGGATCCAGGCATTATAAAGTTAGAAATTATACTCAGATATAACAGATCATGTTTGTTTTGTTGTGGGGTTTTGTTTTTGTTTTGTTTTTTTGCTTTAAATTGCACATTTTAACGCTGATAGCCGTTAGCAGTGTCAGCGCCAGCAGCTGACTGCAGTAAAACTAAAAAAACAAAAAGAAATGCAGCAGAAGTCAAGACCATAATTCCACTTTTTGTCAGTAACTGCTGATTAAAGACTGTTGAATTTGAAGGTTTTATTTCAAGTGAGAGGAGCTTAAAAATAACACATATATCTGTGTGTGTGTGTGTGTGTGTGTGGGTGTGTGTGTGTGTGTGTGTGGGTGTGGATTTGGAAACTTTTGGGGAGCAAAAGCGGGATGAAATCCCCAAAGCTTCAGCTTGTTTAAATCTATTCGGCTTTAATGGCACACCTGACCTTAGGTTGGGTTGCAGAACTGCATATTCAAATTGAAACCTCTTGGTAAGGTGTGCATGACTCGTGTTAGTTACGATATTAAAACATTTCAGAGTACATCAAATTTAAAATCTACCTGAATGGATTCTTCAAGAATCTGACTCTGCTGCACTTAAAGTACAAAATTGAAATCTTTTATTAAAAGATTTTTCCTTTTTCCCCTGCATGTGGTCAGTCGCAGAGGTAAACTCATGATTTTTATGTTTCTCTGAGGAGACGAGCCAAGTTTAAGTCGTTTTAAAGTTGATCTCCCCGAGGGCGGAGCTGCTCTGGTCGATAATAAATCACAGAGCCAAAGAACCTCAGTTTTACTTTTTTAGTTCTGACCTAAATGACATTAGACTGAAGCTGAGCGGAGCCACGACAGGACGCCGGAGCTCTGCTGAGATGCACTCAAGCCATAATCGGTCAGCCAGCCAGCCCATTGCACCTCTGACCACTCCCAACTGTGATGTCACGGCGTACTGACACCTCCCTCGAGTACACGTCAACATCACTGCAGCCACGTGATGTTACGCCAATGAAAGTGGCAAAAACGAGCGTTAAGACTCGAGATTAACGCGCTGACTTAAGACGAAAGCAAATGTTTTCTGGGTCTGCTGAGTTTTCTGGAAAGAACATGTAACTTTGCACAAACTGACGGATAATTGGAGTCGTCTTTAGAGCGAACCGTTCATTGAGAAGCAAAGATGGCAAATTGAGAATAACGAGAATCCATGAATGGACACAAGCTTCAGGTAGTAAATGAAGTGATGCAGTTTTAAAGGTACTTTCTGCAGTGACCCTCTGCAGAGTTTAATGAACTTTTACCACTAGGGGCAGTGTTACCCATCGATGTGTTCAGATAGTTCCAGATATGTGCCCCTTTTCTTGTAAATTTAGTTTTAGCCCTGCCCTTTTCCCTAGGGGCCGGTTCGCGACCTCCTGTCAGTGTCTGTTTAGATCACGTTTTTTACTGGCTGGGTTGCTGAGAGCTGCAAAGAGGGCGATGCAGTCACCTGTAATTTGTCAGGGAGATGCTGACTAATCAGCCAAAACTTGGAAAAAACAGCCACTGAGTAAGTTAGTAACTTGGTCTCATTGTCACAGGTGTTTGCAGACGAGTCGGCATGTTTCTTGCAAACTACGGGACTTGCCTGTCACAAGGTCTGAAACTACTTTGACTTAATAACAGCACGCAGCTTCCTGCAGCCTCTCACCAACCATTGTTCTACCACAGCATTACTCATCAGTCGACCTTACAGCAGCCGCTCAAAATCGTAACCTGATGAGCTGCGGATGCTCTAAGCCTGTGTGACTGAGGCCCTTAAGCTCACCTGGTTTCATTGCGCCATCTTGTGGTATAAACTCAGATGGCAGTACAGCTGGCCCCCAGTTCAGTTTCTGCTGATATTGCATAATCACGATAGGAAGGTGTTCTGAACGTGAAGTCAAAGAAGCTGATTCTTCATTCTGCTGACAAAAAGTACCTTTCAACACGTTTTTCCACCAAGACAAACTTTATTGTAGTTTTTAAAACAAAATCAAACAAATCAGCATCAGAGAAAAAAAAGAAAAATCCACATAAAGAGGACACACCTCAAACCTTGACTGCTTTACAGAAGAGAGTAAAACTTTGTGACTTTCAAAAGTTCAAAAAAAAAAAAAAAGGTCCAGCTGAACACATTTCCCCAGTGATCAGGGTAAAACTGCGTGGTCTTTCGGTAAACTCACAGACCTGTACAAATAAAGTTTGCTTTGTAAATGTATACTTTAATCTTTTGGATCAGATTTCCCTCTTTGCTAACATCTGAAAAAAGATTATTTTTGGTTCAGTTTGCAGAGATTTAACTAAAAAAATATAGTTCATGACCAAAACTCTGATGCAGAAATGACAGTTTTTGCACTCAAATTAAAAGACGCTGAGATTCGTCTGTCCCAGTGCTCCAGCGCTCGCTGCATACACCCGTCTGTCACACGATTATTAAATGCACTTGCTTCTACAGTACTTGGGATGGGACTTGTAATCCGAGGTGCCTGCCGGGACTTGACTCGCCTGTAGATAGCCTTTTTTGGGGGGCGGGGGGGTTAGCGAGAACATTAAGGGCACTGGAAATCTTACTGGGATTAGTTGTATAAAACAAAAAAAAGCTTCTGCTGAGTTCTTTGTGCAACCTGTCTGTTTGTGCCTTTTTTGATAGTCTTGATATCTGAGATTTGATGTGCAGCTTTCGTTCAGTCGGGAATCCGTTGTAATTGCAGTATATGCGCTTAAAATGAATACAATCAAGTCTGGGGGGTGGGAGGGGTTCGGGGGTTATCCTTTCATTTCATTTCTGTAAATTTTAAAGAGATTTGTTGCCACAGCTGTGTGATTTGTGACTGTATTGAAAAGATGAAAAGCAAACATTTTATTTTTTTGCGTAACACTTTTTTGAGATTTTTTTTTCCTTTTTGGGGGGGGGGATGTTTTTGTGCAGATATTTTTATTGTAAAATGAATGTTATGTTTCTATCAGACACTAATCTTGTTTGAGTTGTCTCCAGTGGAACTACTTCACTCTGTATGTTTTGATCAGTATAAACCTTTAATTGTGTAGTTAACATTTCTGAAAGGAAAATAAATAAATAAATAAATAAGATCCTTGGTTGTATTTTTAAGGGTTTCTCTTCAACCTGCCATAGAAATTGTTCTGAATTGATTGGTCAGTTTTATTTTGCTGTCGTGTGAAGGATTTGACTTGAACGAAGCGTTCACTATTATTAAAGACTGACTGCTACTTTGAAAGATCTGTTCTTTAATGTTTTTCTTTGCAACTCTGCCATGACAATTAAATAGACATTAAAGTTTGTGCTGCGTTTGAGGTGTTTCCTGCCAGCACGTATCAGTCCTGGATTCTGATTGGTTGTTGGACAAGCAGAGGTACATGCGGCTGCAAGTCAACTCTACTCGGCACCAAACCCAAAAAAGTACTCATGGCCGAAATGTTTGACAGCATTACTAATTTAGTTTCATCTGCTTTTATGCTTCAGTTTGTTTTTAACATCGTTCTTCACTTTATCATTAACCGATAAAAACAAACAAAAACAGCTCTGCACACTGACTCCAACTGATGATTTAATCCTTACAACTTTTATTTAAAAGCAACATTTCCATCGTGCTGAAGAGGAGACATGTTTGAGGAAGATCAACTGGATAAAAAACTTTGCTTTAACCACAGAGAACCACTGGAGGGCGCAGTCTTCAGCTAAAAGGATACTTTAGGTTTATTTTGTAAGCTGAGTGGGCCCCAAAACGGAGCGATGCCTCGGTGTCTGGAAAAACGCACAACCAGTCCGAATGAAAAGGCTGGAAATCTATAAACACCTGAAATACGGAGTGCAGCCTATAGAGGGCGCTATTTTAAAACAAACAAACAAACAAAAAAAAAAAAACACACACATGGCAGAAAAACTTTCCAAAGGGAGAAAATCCTTAAAGTTGTTTTTTTTTTTTTTATGTGGTGTTTAAATGAAGCTCTAATGCATCTTATACAATGAAATATTTTATATCTTTCTAGTATAAACAAAGACATTACTTTTTTGTATAATTTGGGGGCTTTTTCATTTCAGTTAAATATTTTTAATACAAATGATTGATTACAGGCTGATTGACAAATACTATCCCAGTTACCCAAATCCCATCTCCCTGGTCCTGATCTCTAAACCTACTGGTGGTGAATTCTACAATTTTAATGCCAAGTGTGGCGTAAAAATCTGATGGAATAAAAATGACGTATCCACAATCACGAAATACTGGATTTAATATAAGCAAGAGCCCCCAAATCCAAATAACACCTGTGACTGACACCTCCCATCACTCACAGCAGTGTTTGCCTTGCTCCTAACACACTGCCTGTAAGTGCATTCCAGACTCAGTAATGACATTCCTGACAGTTTACAGGCTGCGGTTACTCTTTCTAATGGACGTTTTAGTGCTTCAGAGGGCTTTTCAAACCAACAAATGATACAAAGAGGCAGAAACGTTCAATAAAAGCACAGAGCATATGGAACATGTTGGAGTCCACATTGAGGGATTAAAGTTTCCTTTGAAACTACATTCTTTGCTGTGCCAGGAACCCATTTCAAGCACAGCCCCAAGGTGCTTCTGTCCAGTCACAGGCTGGATCGGCTCCCTTTAATGAAAGTAGGCTGGATGATTATTTCCGCCTGAAGTCTTTACAGTGTCAAGGATGAGGTTTGTCCTGTCACAATGTTTAAGAACGCATTAAAGCAGTATCATCTACATACATAAAATACTCTTTAAAATATTGTTAAAAGCAGATTAATAGTCCACAAAGTGTGTAGTACATGCAGCAGAGTCGGTCCTGAGTCTTCCACCTACCTACAGGGTTGGTGGGCAAATTGCAGGGGTCTATAAGATGCTCGTTTTGTGAGACCATGTACCTCTCATCAGGTGTTCAAAGCACTTTGTGACCAGTGATGTAAGTGTGACTGCTCTAAAGTCTTTGTGGACTTGATGGCAAATACTATTAATAGTAAATAAAAATGACTGATCATAAGGACAGAGATGCTATATTTTATTTGAAGATATGTTTTCCCAGCTTCTTCTGTTTATTTTCATGATCTTATATGATCATCATTGTATACTCATCGTTTTCTGTCCCAAACTGTTACCTGTGTTTTCTTTGAACTTCAGCTGGGATACATTGGTACTTTTCTTTTCTTTTTTTGTAAACACTCGAAATATGTGTCATCTTCTCATTAAATGAGTAGGAGGGGTCACATCAGCATAAAAGTATTTACAAAGATTTAAGCATGTTTCTCAGATTCAAAACCTAATGGCATTTGAGGATTTATTGATTTATTTATTTTTAGTAGCATAATCTTTTTTTAGAGGAAACAACAACTTCAGCAGTTTTATACTGTCTTTAGGAAAAAGTCATCCATAGAGAATTTATCACCTAAAGCGGGACCAAACCAACGTCAAAGGGGACCAGAAGTATTCACGTTTTAGTAGTACTCAGTGTGTCCGGTAGGTGGTGCTGCGGTACAGTTTAATATGATGTGCTGCGGCATGTCCCGTGACTGATTCATAAATTCAAAACCTCATTCACTTTTTTTGAGCTACAAACCAAAGCAGGTCAGAAGTTCGAGTCTTTTGCTTTTAATTTTGTAGTAAATTTAAAAAGCATCGTCGTTCATACATATTAATATATTAACATCGCAGAGAGATGTAAATTTAACCCATGACATTTACGAAGATAAAAGCAGATTTTGCTGTATGAAAGCAAAAATATATTCAAAATTATTCAAACCAAAAATAACTGCAGTGAAGACGTCACTGAGCAGCGATCAGATGGATTCATTTCTGACGGCTTTGTTTACCAGCTTTGTTTCGACCACGTGCTTGCAATGTGTCCACGCATGCGCACTAAAGTATTGTTCTTATGGCACGCGTATCGGTGGCGCGCGCAGCCAAAAACAACCACCAGCCACGCGGGCGCGCAGCCACTTCCCTGCCCTCGAGTTGATTGGTTGTAATCGCCTCTCCCCGCCCTCCGCCGCAGCTGATTGGGTACATGGAGATCTTTCTCCTCGCTGATTGGACTCTATTTGTAGAGCAGGCTTTGTAGCTAGGCTGCTGTTGCCTTCACGTACCTCTCCAAACAGCGAATTTTAAGGACGAAAAAACACAAAAAACACGTCTTTATTTGCCTTTGTGTGAAGAGTAACAGCGAAATGTTCCTTCTCACAGTGCTGTTTGACTGGCCCGGTAAAGGTTGTATGACATGTAACATATGAAGAGTCATAACACAAATGAAAGGGGAGGGACGATTGGTTAGCCAGCAAAGAGATGCAGGAGTGAATTGTGGATACATATTGTAGATTTTACTCGCTCACTTTTAAGCCACAAATTATACAGCTAAGAAAAAAAAATTAAAACACCAGAAAACGAATAACGTGAAATAAAAGGAAGACAGAAAACTGTTTAAGCTCCTGTTTGTTTCTTGGATAGTTCTAGAAGTTTGCATTTGTGTGTGTGTGTGTGGGGGGGGGGGGTTCTTTCATTTCTCATTCTTGTGTTGAAGTTGGGTTCCGCGTGGTTTTCTCACGGGCTGTGTCTGACACCCGCCATTTCCTGCGACACTTAAACGCATCACCGATAGATGGAGATAAAACTGCGCCTTTTCTGCACTTTTTTTGCTCAAGTTTTCCTTCGAAGCGTGCGGCGCTGACGCTAAAGAGAAGCTGCAGACACCGAGGCGACGCTTATAAGTGACAGATCCGCGGCCGTGAACGCGGCTGTGCGCGCATCAGAGAGCTAATTAGGATTTCAGTATAAAAAAGGCCGCAGTCGGGACAGCTCGGCCTGTCCTGCCGCTGATGTCGGAGAGCTGAAGGTACAGAGGTGCACCCCAGCATGCACTCGCTCTGATCCCAAACAAGCGGATGGGATTTGGGGATTTCGCCCACGCTGCACTCTTCACGCTTTTGCTTTGTGAACGCAGTGAAACTCCAACGAGGACACTGATGTTTCTGGAGACTTTAATGGCTCTGGGCTCGACCTAAAGAGGCTGCTGCTGCCTTTATGGGACGGTGAAGCTATCCTCATTTATTTTATTTTATTTTTATTTATTTCTTTTGTTTGTTTTCTAAACTGATATCCACACTGCTGGTTCAGAGGGAAAAGCTTCGATTTCTTGGCCGGGTTGTTTTGGTTCTCTGACGGGGAGGAAGGTGAAGAGTTTTTGGGGTAAGTGCAGAAGCAGTGACCTGCTGGAGGACACGCATGTACTGGTCAGATACACCCGTGCTGTGGTGCTTTTAGAAGAGTGTGTGCAGATCTTGTCACACTCTATTTCCTGTTGCACCAAAGGAGTTTTTCCGTATTTAAAGCCTGCTCTGCGTGTCTGTGGGGCTGGTTTAAACTGTCTGACGCGTCGGGGAAGAAATAAAAATCAGGTGTCACCCTCTAGAATCTGAGATGATATCATTTAGTCCCCAATGTGGAAGTCCGTGGTCTTACAGGATGGCAGCTCGGGTGGATTTATGTAACCGTGGGGCTTTACCAATCTGCTTACATTAATTATAAGGTTACAACATCCTCTCCTTTAATGGGACACGTTTTGTAATTTGATCTCCCAAGTTGTGTTCAAGAGCAGAAAAAAGCACGGTTTGCCGCTGCTTTCAGCTGATTATCTGCGCTGCCTTCATCACCACCACCATCATCATCGGTGCGCTTTTTTGGCTGCAGATCTCGGTCAGATTTGTGTGTGTGTGTGTGTGTGTGTGTGTGTGTGTGTAGGGGTAGGTAGGAGGGGAGGGCTTATAATGCCACGTGAACAGGCGACAAAAACACAGCGAAAGGACGGATTTCATAACGTCCACGCGCATTCTGCCTGCACCTCTTGAAGGAAGCTGCAATATTGTGTTTACATGCATCATCATCATCATCATCATCATCAGCCGCCCTCGTGGTGAAGCAATATCGCCCCTCAGGGTTTGTTACAACACGACAGTCCTCACGATACAGTTCATTATTATTGTTATGAAACACTTTAAAAATAAACAAAAGGAGAAACATGAAATGTTGTTTAAGGTAAGCGCGCCCACGACGCCAGGAGCGGAAGGGTAAGAAGAGGACAAGCTGTACTATTTAATATGAGACCTTTGTTAATGTTTGGTGTGATCATTCGTGGCGTCCTGTTCCAGATGTGATGTCCAGTGACAGGATGATGCAGCGCTGACACATAAACAGCGCAGCAGCAGCTGCAGGAGGAGGAGGAGGGTGAGGAGGAAGGCTGCTGTTTTTGTGCCTCTTATTCCATAAAAACATCTTCATCACGTGACAGAGCATTGAAGGAACCTGCTGGTCTTTGTCACAGTGGTAGGCTTTGTTTTATCGCTGTTGTTGCCTCTTAGAAAAACGACCGTTAATTATTTCGTTATTACTCAGTTATGACGTTTCCGGATGATGTAAGTCTGACTGTTTAGTTGTAAAGAACATGAAAACAATCATTTTCTTAGTTCTATTTGGTTAACTCACAGATTAATTATTATTGATCTTGAAATAATTAATCATCGGGGTGATTGGAGGGAACGCAAACGCATCATCTTCTTCATTTAACTCGAAGATCCGCAGGTGGGGAACCGAGCTGCACACACACGAGTGTGTCTGGTTTTTATTTTGCTTTGTGTGTGAAGTAGAGGACAGAATCCAGATTCATATTCTCATCTTGTATTTATTTACACATCCGGGTGTCTGCGCGCTCCCACCTCCCCTTTGTGGTGCGTTCAAGCCGCATGGGAAATAATCTCGACAGTAAAAACAATAACATGTGGGGGGGGGTTCTCCCTCCTTTGTGTGGTCTCCAAGCAGAAATATGCGATTGTCTTTTCTGGGAAATAAGTAGATGACAGTCTGTCACAGCAGAAACACAGACATCTAAAGAGTGATACAAGGAAACCGTGATAATGCCATTTATGACCAATTTCAGACTCACAAAGAGAAAAACTGTGGCTGAACATGTGGGTGGAAGACTCTGGGAACATTTTGTTTTATAAAACCAAATTAAGCAGCATAAATCCATCCACAAAAACAATTTCTACTAATCATTTAAACAACGATTTAACAATGTAACCTAAATAACAAGAAAAAAATTGAGGCACCAATTTTCATGGCTCTGCAGTTATCTCCACTGGCATGCAGCCTGCCTCCTTTACCTCTCACACAGTCCAGCAAAAACCTCTGACTGTCTCTGGCATGTTTGGAGGGGACCAAATTTGTGCTTCTTTAGCTTGCTAGCTGTCATGTCTCATAGATGTTGTTGCACTTTGGCACATATTCCAGCTGAAGCCATATGCCAGGTGGCTTTCTGCTGGTATTGAGCTAAAATAAGAAAGTGATTCTTTCCCTGTCCAAGCAAAAGTCAAATCTGATCCTTTCTGTGTGGTGTTTGCGTGTCCATTCCAGGCATTTCGGCTTCCTCCCATGGTCCAAAAGCATGTTAGGTTAAAATGGTGATTGGAAATTGGTTGTAAACTGTCTGAAGGCAAGGATAAGCTCCACCTTCCACATGACTCTGAAGTGGATAAGCAGGATAAGAATAAAGCAAGGATGGATCGTTGACTAAAAATTCCAAGTATGGCTTTCCAAAAGGATCCAAAAGCATTTAAAGTTTCAAAAGAAATCTTGTAAATATGGATATAAATACTAATTAGTGGAAATCACATTTTAAAAAATAGTCGAAAATACTTTGGTAATCTAAAGTAAACGAAGTACAAATGTACCAGTAAACAAAGACAAATATTTACAAGATTAAAGTTTACAAATAAACTTTAAAACAGAGTTGTGCTTTTTATAAAATAAGCGTTATCAAAGGGTGGCTTTAAAGAGAATGGCAGGCATTAAAATCGCGCAAACACACCATTTTACCTTGAATTGCGCTCTTAATCTGGAATCCATCTTTCCCAAGGGAGCCTGAAGGCAGCACAGGCATCTATTGGTCAGCTGGGCTGTTAATCAAAGCTCACGCTCCCGCCCACGTGGTGACGTCCTCGTAAAGTAACCAGGCCAGTCCATTGCGCACACAAAAGGCACAACAAAAGCCCGTGTGGGGAAAAATGAGAACCGTCATCACCCAAAGGAGGCAACAATAAGTTCCCATCTGGCAGCATCACCCATGGACCAGAGCCTGGGACGCCGACAATCATTTCTTTAAGTCCAAAAAGCAACAAGAAGTGCAAAAAAACCCCAACAACAACACCTCTCTGTCTCTTCCTCCAGCAAGCAGTTTTCCACCGAGCTGCGCTCTGCTCAGATCTGATCCAGGTGGTGAGTACAGCAGCAGCTGAAGCGCCGTTTGCCTAAAAACGGAAAGAAAGCAGCAGCCGAGGTTCTGTGTGCGCTGGATTCAGAGACAGCGCCAGGCTCAGAAAAACAAACAATGAAAGCAGACAGCAACACTGTTGCGCCTGAGCTGGCGTCGTGCTCTTTGTTGGGCATAAACAAATTTAGAAGAGGAGCAGGAGGAATTGGGAGGGCTGCAAACGCGTCTAACGGCCAGATTAACTGCTTTGGATCGTAAGACTTTCAGCGAAAACGCATGTTATCGGCTTGTTTTGGTTGGACTCAGTGATGAAGGGAGCGAGTCTTTTGTCTGGACACTCTTCCTGTTAGTGGTTACCAGAGACGCACACTGTGCTGCCTCTTTGTTTTCACTTTGCTCAGTGCGAATGTCAGCTGTTACCTGTCCTCTCCACTCACATTGCCACCCTTTTAAAATATCTTTCTGCTTTTAATTTTTTAAAAGCCAAATATATTTTTGTTTAATTAAGAAACAGAAGCAGAAGGTGAGATGGCAGGCGATGGAGTGCATGGACACAATAGGAGGAGACGACAATGTTGCAGGATTCAAAGCGTCGTGTTTAAAGTGTTTTATCTGCAAAACTCCAGAAATGTTAAAGTTTCATCAAAGAAACAGAACATGTGGTTTAAATGGCCTGAAGTCAGCAACTTGGCTTATAAAGTGTGTGTGCGTGCGTTTGTGTTTACCTTCATTGTGTACGTGCCACTGGGGTTAAACTGAGCTAGTTCAGAGGGGATTTTGTCCTTTTCATGCAGGGATTAGGCCTCGGCACCTGTGCAGATTATACTGTATGTATGTAAACGTGGTTCTCTGCGTGGGGCCTCCGTGGGCCAGAGTGTGTCTGCATGTCAGGTTTTTACCTGGCTGATTGTGTGTGTGTTTTTGTGTATGCATACGTATATATTCGTGTTTGTGTTTGCAGAGCAGCCATGCTTCATGCTGCTTCCTGTTGAGTTGCGGAAGTTCCTTTGTTTTCTGTCTGGCTGCTGGCTTCTGTCTCGGTGCTGCTCTTCCTGTTGCGGCACATTGAGCTCAATTGGAAACTTCTCGAGCCTTTTTAATTGTTTTCCCTCGCAGGGCCGCAGGGTTATTGTTTTGAGGGGATTTCTGTCTAACGGGGCAACCTTTGCTATGCAGAGATTATATTAAGAGAGGCGTGTGGTGGATTTTTCCTTCACTTTGCAACTCTTGAGAGATAAAAGTGAAAGTCTGAGAGTTTGGGTGTACAATGTGCTGGTTGGTGTTTGAATGGGGAAATATGATCCACAGAGTCGGATTCACCGTATATTTCAGCCAGAGAATTTGCAAACTTCAGGAATCCTCACGCTCTGGTTTCATAGGGGGCGCTGGTGAGCCCGAAAATATAAATATTCCATATTCTTCATCCAGTTTTCAACATGATTTTAATAGGCCAGGGTGAGAGAGGGAAACACATCTCTGTGGGTATCAGGAACCTCACAGCACCATGGGTCCCTTTACATCCTCGGCCATTTTTATTTGGGAGAATTTTGGCTTCCCTGCAAGAAAAACAAAAGTGTGTGTAAATGTCATTTCATACCCGTTTGGAGGTGTTGTTGATATGCATTTGTCTCAGCCATTTAGCACAATTTACCACCATTTATGGAGGATGAGCTCACGATGCGCCCCCTACTGCACCCCAACCTGAACTGCAATCACATTGCAATGGGACAAACAGGAAGGGGAATGCATGTCCTGGATCTATAAAGGCACCGTTTGTAACATCTATGTAGCCATTAACTGTGTTTATCCATCCAATTATGGTAACCATGCCAACCCAACTGACATTCACAGTTTAGTCAGATGACGTTAAAGCTGTGTAGTTTTGGGAAATCTAAAGTCCTCAAGATTTATCAAGATCCAGCCGGGTGTGTTTACCACGGTTAATTTTATCTCCCTTAACCTAGTAACCTTAGTTAACCTGATTAGCATTCCGTTAGCCCTGCATGTTTAGGGGCTGAGGACTTTGACTCTCTGGTAAAGTTACTGCATGTTGCTCATTTCCTGAAAGTCAGTAGTTCAGCAGAAAAAGGCTTAAAAAAAATCCATATGAGGAAAGATGCACTTTGTAAATCAGTAACAAAGTTAAACACAAGCAGGCAAAGATGACTTTTCTCAGCTGTCAGTAGAAACTTAATCAGCGCTAAAAGCACAGCAAATAACAGGCATGCATTCAACAGGTGTCCAGAAACTCGACACCAGTGTTCAGGTGCTCTGCGCCTCCTGGCTGCTGATACACTGCTGCAAATCAATACATGTACCTTCATCGGTCAATCAGCCAATCAATCAGTCTGTCACCTTTAGCACCTTCAATCAGCGTGTGCTCTTCACATGCAGCAACCAGTAAAATAGAAAATGACACAAAATATGATTTTTAAAAATGAACACAATGCTATTTTTAGCACCATGCACAGCAGTGAATGTTTGTCTGCAGAGCTGAACAGTGAGTGGGTCTGAATGTGTTCAAATCGAATTCTGCGTGAGTTCCACTGCACCTTTAAAAGTTACAGCAGTGATTCATTTATTTTGTGTAAATGTGGAGAAATGCCTCAGTAAATAAAAATGTGTTTTCTGGCCTGGCTACAATGCACAAACCTAACGATTAATAATGATTATTCTGAGAAGTTTAAAGGCCAGGACACCGAGTGGGGCTTTGCATTAGCTCTTCGTGGGTTTACTCGTTGCAGTTTAGTTTGCAAAGTTCAGCTTCAGGTTAGTTTTATTTTCTGAATTTTATAAAAGTGCGGGTTTTACTAAGGGCCAAGATACGATGCTCACAATAGCAAAACGCAACAGTTTGTGAAGGAAGTTGAGTCACAGTCCGGTGGACATCCCAGTAATCACACACTCCAAAGCCTCGTGAGGCTGGTTGTGTCACAAACCCGACCACACTGGGGGGAAAACTAAAACTAAGAACACTTCCTCAGTTTTTCTATTTGCTTTTAGTTTGGCGAGCACAAAATATCCTCTCATTTTATTCTTTTATCCAAGTCTGTTTGTGGGATGTTTTTAACACCTACTTTTAGTCTTTTCTTGATTTAGATTCAGTCCAGGATCACAGCCTTGGTGTCTGGGATGGGGCTTGTTCAGGCATGTCCGTGGAAGTTTGAAATCTGGGAAAAAGTCTGCATGCTGTTTGGATCTGGTTTAATAATTAAATGCATTTTTAAAACATTCTTGCAAAGACCTTTGCAAACTTTTGTGATCATATTTATTCATTTTAACAAATTTGGGGACACAGTTTGCTGTGGGAGACCCCTGCCAACACGGACTTCTGATTGTGTATGGAGAAGCGATATGTGTGGTGGTGCTGTTAGCAGAAAGCAAAAGATGGAGCAAACCAAATCAAAGGAGGCAGAGGGGGAGAGATCGATTACACTGAGCTAATTTAGGCTCAGTTTCTAGCCTGCACAGGTGCACTTAAATGAATCTAACAACTCCCCCTACCTGCACAGTCCCACAGGGAGAGCAGAGAAACCGTAGCAGTGTGAAAGTAACATCTGCATGTCAGTGCAGTTCCAGGAGCCGACGAGTCCCCGCAGGACATTACATCCTAACGAGATCATCAATGTCACTCACTTCACCTGCAAGTGGTTTTAATGTTGTGGCAGATCTGTGCAGGTCTGTCACTCCGGGCTCTCTTTTTTTTCTTTTTGAGGTTAAAAAAATTCCACATATGCATTTTAATGTGAGCATTAATCTCTTATTGGTCAGCTGGGAGTCGCATGCTTGCAAACAGGAGCAGAAGGAGGAGAAGGAAGACTCCACGTGGGTGGATGTTTAGCATCTGTGTAGACCTGCAGACGTGTTTTTCGTGAACCCCTTTCAAAGCTCGCGCCTATTATCGGGATTCTGTTTCATTGTCTCAGCAGCTGTGCTGGTGTGCAGTTTTTACTGCAGCGCTGCAGGCGCCTGCTTTCACTTTTACCTCTGAAACCTTTGCAGACAGTCGTGTCTCTTTCTTCTTTAAACGCCACGTTCCAAGATAAGGCCAAGAGATGTGACTAATGGTATCCTTTGACATAAAATCCCAGAAAGTTGATTCATATAAACAAACGTTTCATCAGTCAGCCAAGTTCATTCCAGACTGAAGAAATCACTCGGCTGAGTGATGCAACACTTCTCCCACTGAAAACGCTGCCTGGATCGTTCGGCGTGCATTAACATACTTTGACGTCAAGTGTCCAACAAAAACTATTATGAGCCATTTGTTCGTGCAAATTAATGACATGAGAGGAAAACTCATTGAGCTACTTGAAAAACTGACATCTGAGCAGCATTTCCTTAAGTTTCTACAGGCACAAGAGTTGGTGCCGAGTTTTAGATTCGAAATCCTATATTTTTGTCTTTTGAACGATTTTTGTTTCTCCTGAGAAATTCCTCTGACTTATCTCCAAGCTGCTGATCTCTCCTCGCATCTTTCAGTCTAAAGAGACAAAATGAAGACAGGCTGGTTTCTATCATGTGCTGTGAAGAAGAAAATAGTTTGAGAGCAGGTGAAACGTGTTATGTGGCTTCTGACTCGTTGTCATATTAACTTACATAACCACGCAGCCGTGTTGGTCGGGGACAACATGCGACTGTAATCACTTAATAGATGTTTCTAATCAAATGATTGCTCCAGTGAACGAGCTGTTTATATTGGAAATGCAATTAAGCTCACGAGCGCTATAAATAGGAAGTGCGGAACGTGCCGCTCACCACATCATCTCTTTCCTTTTCCCACTTATCCGCAGGTTTGATTTTCTCCCGTGGTGTCTGTGTGGAGCGTGCCACACACCCACTCCACAACAACGACGGCTTTTGCTTGCATCTTCCAGTGTTTCTTCTGTCAGCAAGTCCAGCAGAGCTGCAACTCTTCCAGTGCCAGCCCTGACACCAGCGAGGAGCCCTGCCCCACTGACATGGTGAAGATGACCAAGTCTAAGACCTTCCAGGCTTACCTGCCGTCCTGCCACCGCACCTACAGCTGCATCCACTGCCGAGCACATCTGGCCAACCACGACGAGCTCATCTCAAAGGTATGACGGCTCCACACGAGCTCGCTCGTCCCTGCTCTTTGTATAAAGCCACCCTGCAGCACTTCACATGACTTCAGCTGCTCTGTTTTATTTATGGGGGAAGGAAAGCTTCAGGGTTTTGCACTTGTCTCACAAATCTCACAGCAGCTACCCTTGGTGCCATCCCGAAGGTCAACTAGAGAGAAATATTACATTAGTGCAGCGTGCTTAAAACACCCTGATCAGCAGCGAGTGTTGGCCCTCTCCTTAGAGCTATAAATAAAAGCTGCGAGTGTCGGCCCATTCTGTAAGCTATAAATAAGCGTGGATAACGTGATGTAGTCGAAGAAGCAAATGTAGGTTACTGTGGCACAGTAAACTGTTTTTAGCCATACTGTCTGTTTGAAGACACGTCATGACGTGAGAGCAGAACAGAGAATTAATCTGAGCGAGCGCCAGCAGGCTGCTCCGCGCCGCACACTCGTGTTTGTTTGACTACTATGGTGACCAGCATGCCGCAGGAACTTCTCGTAATCTGCCGTGCTCGCCTGAGCTGACAGAAAATTTTAGTTATATAAAATCTAAAATGCGAGTTTGGAAGAGCTACGAGACGGGAGTCTGTCGATAAATGGGTCTCTCGAATCCCATAAACTGGCCTCGCTTCCTGAGCTCATAGCCTGAAGCCGGTGTGGAAGTGCATAAACCTGCAGTGTTCACGAAGGCCAGCAGGGGGCGAGACATTCAGTTGCAGGGTGAGTCCACCTTGTTATTGACAAACCGTTACCGTATGAGTGTGAGGTGTCCTTTAATTGATCGCATCTGGTTTCAAAAAGCTACCATGGCGATGGCCGAAATGTGTGACGTCACTATCGCTATGTCCGTCTTTAATATACAGTCTATGCTTGAGCGTTCTTTAGCATAGTGACTAGTGCAGTTCACTCTGTTATAACCTAATGTTGTGGTATTAAATGTATGTTTTACAACCAAATATTTACTTTCAGCCAGCTCAGCGAGCGGGCGTGCTCACGTGAATTTTGGGAGCTTTTGTTTTTTTCTATTGTTCCTTCAAAATAAGAGCTCAGCCGCCTCGTGTTAGGAATAAGGTGGATCGTGTGCTTTAAAGCCTTAACAATGTGCTATAAGAGATTCACTGTGCAGTATTTTATAGACTGTATATCAAAAAAGGCTCAAGCTTAGCATTGTTGATGCCGCCATGTTTATTTTTCCTTCTTTGGAGCTGGCGATGAAACCACCTTTAACCAAAACGTGGTTATCCATAACATGTGTCACATAACTTCATTATAAATACTTCTGAAGGCACAAACAGCACAAACATGCTGAGGAGGTTCAGTGACTCAGTCAGATTACCTAAAGGCTCACAGGCTGCGAGTGGCTTTACCCGTCTGTGTCACAATCCACCTGTTACTCAAAGTGGGTCACCTCCTAGTGTTGCATAACTTAAACAGCTGACATGTGTAAATAAAAACCTTACGGGTGTCATTGAGGGGAAACTGAAACTGCTGCGTGTTTGTTTAATATCAGGCTCTATGCTGTGCATTTAGGCTGTTAATCCTGGCAGTCTTTTTGGGATTGACTCGCGTTTTGACACTTCATTTCTAACCCTGACTCTTGAACCCTAATCAGTGGAGATTTTAAATAAGTGATCCTCACTAGATGGAACTGAATTAGAAGCACCAGCAACACGCATGTGAATTTGTAAAGTTAGAGCTCTGAAAGTGTTTGTGCTGATTTATGCAGCTCACGGTTAAAATCAAGCTCTGATAATTATGCAGACTTATCTGCAGATCAAAATGAATGGCATGTTTTCCTTAGTAACCATGGGGATGACTTTCTCAGGCAGTCATATTTGACAGCATGCTCGTTATATTTTGTGGTGAATAAATATGTCTAAACTGTGAAATCCCACTCAGCAATATCTGATATCAGTTCTGGCAAATGACACAGATGAAATTTTACGTGATGCTCAACTTGCTGCATCTCCACAGCTCGTGTACCTGTCCGCTCGGGCGTCTGCGCCCATAAATTCTCAGAGGCTGGGATGCTGGGCGGGGCTGCTATTATCACTGACGCTGCTCGAGCATGAAAGAGTTGGTCGCTCTATTAAAGTGTTACTGCTGTGGCTATTTTTGCTTCTGTGGCTGTTTTTGAGTTAAAAACGTCAAAGCTGAAAGAGCCGCTTTGGTTCGCTGAGCATCTTTGGTAACCTCGTACGTGCTTTGAAAATCTGAGATGGAAAAATCAAGACAGTCGAGCTTCGTATCTGCGCCGCTGGCCTGGGGACGTGTTTTTGTTTGTGTTAGCTCATATCGTATATTGTCATGATGTAGATGAGTGTGGCTTTAAAGAGCTGCATATTGCAAAATGTCAGAGATAATGTCTTCAGATTCCATAATCTCCATGAACAAAAGTTTTAAATAAGTCAATGCATGGATGGCAACACTTTAGAAAGCCACAAAAATCATTCAATCTCAGACGTTCATTGACTGAAAGTTTGAGGCTGATGAGCATGAAAACCTCAGCGCTCTTCTACTCACCTTACCTGTCATCGCTGGGCTGGTGTGACTAATATTCCCGTGACTGTGCTTTTCATTCTGACTTTACCCTTTTTTTAAGGTAAATTACCTTCATCATCATCCACTCCTGTCGAGTACGAACAGCGTAAAGGTGCTGGTAGAAATGATGTGTCACTCGTTGAATCCAGTGTTGCCGTCAGACTATTGTCAGAGAAATTCATCTCCGCGAGTCTGTGACCTGAAGCGAATCTAGACGACACATTATTATAAGCGTCATAAAGTGTCCGACGGTGCCAGTCTGGATTTAAAGTCGGGAATCTCAGGGAAAATCTCTGAAAACGCGAATATTAGGACCACTAATTTCAGCACAGTTTTCACAGTACCTGGCGGTGGGACTGGTTTTCAACTGGTCGCTGGTATCAACTCGTGACCCTCCTCTGTGATGTGTCTGTCGAGTCAAATGTCTGCGTAGTCCTGTGGAAAAAAGCCTCAGTATTAACTTCCCATCATAAATGACTGCTGATCGTGTTGTTGCTGCCTGCACATAAATCCTGTCTTCACTAATGATCAATTCTAGCAGAGACCAAACCAAACCAAAAACCTCATTTTACAGTCAGAGCGCACAGCAGGACGCTGAAGATTCAGCCAATTTCCCAAAATGAAATTGTCCTGCCAGGGCTGGTCATTCATCAGCCCACAGAGAGTGACAAATGTGAACCTGAGTCAAATACAAAGAGCTCTGTGGCCCCTTAAAGTCTGTTTATTACACGATTTCTGTATCGAAGTCCACGCTGGCATTTGGGGGCACAAACGTGCAAAGGTGTGAAAGCGTCGCTTTAACGCCGGCCGTGAATCGGCAGCTGGAGGGGAAAGTTTCAGAACTGTGAGATGAAGCGGAGCAGAAGTGGTGACCTTTACGTGTTACGACGGCGTGCTCCTCTGCGTTAAGGCCTTCCCGAGCGCTAAGCTGATTATTTAAATGGAAAAGTTGATCAATCTGAGCTTGGATCGACTGTGTGGAGGCTGCGCTGCTGTAATGACCTCACGTACGTCACGTGGAAAAAACTGAAACCAAGTACAGTCGAGTAAGGGCTGGCATTTATTTTTACATTAAACATAAAGTATGCATTTCCACGTAACATATTTGACATAAGATCAAACAAAAACAACAACATGAAATCCGACATACCTGATAAAAAAGGTAAAAGAAAGAAAGACCTCCAAGTAAATAATCTGCCCACTCCAGCTCCGACGACCAAATACAAACAGTGGGGAAGAGGGTTAGCTCCACCCACCACAGCTCCCAAGCTAGCAAGGAGTATATATTCATGCTAGCATTTATGGCGCCTAAAACACATTTATGATACACACATACTACACACTTATAACATCTAACAAAAACAAGCTTAATAATGACAATAACTGAATTAAAATCGCAATCAGAAACATCCAGGTGGCTAAATATGCATTATATGTGTGTTTTAAAGTGTTGGAAAGAAATGACACCCACCTCTCCCACAGGGGAATTGTAGAAAAGGGGAGAGGCAAAAGGGGTGCACTGTATTTATAGGATTGCACCAAAGAAGAAGAAGAAAAGAATGAGGAGGGGCTCTAACTGATAATGAACATAACTACAGGCTTGGAGGCCCTAAAAGTCGGGTATAAAAGGAGCAGTTTGGGGGTTTAGAACACATTTTGTGTAATTATAACAATGTGATTTATGACCCTGATACATGGGTACTACTGGAACAGCTATAACATTACCACTGGCCCCTATGTCAAAAATCCAGTGTTTAAAAATTCTACATATATGTGCTAATTCTCTCCTGAAGCAAATGCTGATAACTCTGTTTGTTGCACAACAGCACGCTCAGTGAAAAGCTTTACCACCAGCCTCTCAGAAGGTTCGGAGGCCTCGAGGTGGTAAGTTTGGAGTTGCAAAGTCTGCACAACGACAATTTCACTGGGTTTTAATTTTTAACGAGTGTCATAAATCATGAATGCGATGTGCCTTTGGCCTGAGAGAGGGGGGGGGTGTCCTCATTTATCTGCGCCTCACTTAACCTGTCGTGAGCCATGTCAGATATGTGGATTTATCTCCACGCGCAGCAAAGACTGTGACAGGGGAGAAAGGAGGTTTTATGCAGTGAAGGTTTATTGGATCCTGCGCGGGGAAATTAAATTGTTGCTCCAGCAAAGTTGAACTGAAACCGGGTGGCTGTGGGTGGTGGTGGTGGTGGTGGTGGTGGGGGGGATAAAGCAATAAATGAAGAGAAGTTTAGCCGATGTGGCTCATGCAAATAACCTTCAGTTTATCAGCAGAAGAAAAATGTAGAGGGAAACATGATTCATTCATGGGATGTTATTTAAATCGAGGCACCATTGCTTGCTCTTGTAATTAATACATTTCTTTCGCGCTTTTGCAAATAGGAAGTCGATCGTGGAAGAAAAAGCTATTAAACGTAACTTTTATGACACGGCTCATCC